ATAGAAAAAAAACTAAGGAGCGCAAAAGAAAAAGAGAACAATAACGAAGAGATTGGTGTAAGGTAGTGTGGTATTAACGAGAGAACGGAAAGGTACAATCAGAAGAAATCTTTCAGGTAAGGGAGACACAACCACTTTTTATGAAGAAAGTAAAAGAAGGTTACAGCAGGATCGCCACTGGCTTCTATTCTGAGCCATATCTGATAACGTCTCTAGCCACTGTGTAGCACCATTTCTCAGACCCCAACCAGGGAGTCGTGAAGGACCAACAGAAGCCAGTCCTTTGCAGCTTTCTTTCATACCACGACACCATGTCATGCACTGACCACCTCTCCGCTTCTTCCAACCAGTCCCAGAGTCGGCAAATAATGCACGACGTGGAATTCTCTGGGACGACATTCGTAGAACATGTCCAAGCCACCGAAGTCGGTGTTTCATGATGGTGACACCAATTGCATTGTCGTCTCTGTGACCGAACACACGATGCCGAACCTCTGCATTACTGACATGGTGTTTTTATATAGGGCTTTTAGGATGTTAATAAACTTCTCAGGCACACTCTTCTTCAATAGACAATCCCAGAGAACAGTCCTATCCAACGAATCGAAGGCAGCACTGATGTCAAGAAACACTACGATTGTTGGCCTTTGATAAGTATGGCGGTGTTCTAACATTTGGCGGAGGGTGAAGATATGATCAATACATCCTCGACCAGAACGAAACCCAGCCTGCTCCTCGCGAGTCAATCTTTCTCGGGTTTTGAACAACCTACGAAGTATTACAGAAGCCAATAGCTTGGACGCAATCGGAAGTAAACTTATCCCCCGATAGTTGTTACAGGAACGACGTGAACCCTTTTTAAAGATAGGGACAACTATCGACTCATTCCATGACGTTGGTACACTCTCTAGTTTCCAAACCTTTGTAAACAACGTCGTCAATTCCTTAGTCAAAAAGTCACCACCATCTTTAAAAAGAGCCGGAGGTAAGTCATCTGGGCCAGGTGATTTGTAACGCTTCAAGAGTTGGAGTTCCTTGCGGACTTCCTTCTCATTTGGTGGATCAGTCGTCACCGGCCATGGAGGGCAGGACAGTCTGACCGATGTTGCCGGAGCAGCAGGCCAGTTGAACTGCCCTTCAAAAAATTGTGCCCATCGTCCAAGACGTCGATGGATGTTAGTGATTGGCATCCCATCATCCTCGCAGATTGTTTCACTCACACCAGACTTCTTGCTGCCGGTGGCTCGGATGAGTTGGAAGAGCTTCCGGTAATTACCAGATGCAGCTGCTGCTTCCAGCTCATTAGCACGCTTCGACCACCAGGCTTCTCGGTCCCTACGCAAGCTTTGCCCAATTTCGCTACGTAACAACCTTCGTTTGTGGTCAAACTCACGGTCACCCGGAGTAGACCGACGGGCTTCAATGAGTTGTAAGGAACCAGAAGAAACCCAGTGCTTAAAAGCGGGACGTTTCGCAAACCCACAACTGACTGTTCCCGCCATTTTCATGGCGTCATGCGATTGCAACCAATGCTCATCTATACTTTTCGGTGGAGTGGTAGCTAGCCTAGAGGCTAGCTCGGTTTGATACTTACTTGCAACAGAAGTTGCAACCAGCTTGCTAACATCAATCTTTTGGTGGTGGTCACTTCGTTGGCCACTGAAAAGTAAGGCAAGATTGGCGCAGACCAAGGCATGGTCAGAGTCCAGATAGGTACTCCAAAAGGAGCGGCAGTCTTTTACACAACCACGCCAGCGGTAGCTGATCGCGATGTGATCAATCTGAGTCCAGGCTTGAGATGCAGAGGGAGGACGCCAGGTGGCACATCGGCGATGACTGTGCCGAAAGTTAGTGCTAGCCAGAAACAGGTTGTGGTCAGTGCAAAGTTGCAGTAGACGGTCCCCGTTATCTGACCTGCGACCAACGAGTCCCCATCGGCCACCTAAACGACTCTCTTCTGTGCCTAGACGCCCAACCTGAGCATTCAAGTCTCCGGCTAGTACTACAATATCTGTCGAACACACTTTCTGGAGAAGAACAGATAATTGGTGGTAAAACTCATCCTTGATTGCATCCGGGCTGCAATCTGTCGGGGCATAGGCGGAGATGACGAAAAGACATCGTTTCTCCCGCCGATTTCTTCTCACTTTGATGGAACTTTCTAATCTAACAGCACATAACCGACTGTTAATCGGGATCCAGTCGACTAGTGCTGCCTCAGCTCTAGCGCTTAGTGCGACGCCAATGCCAGCAAGACCGGACGAAGATGCCACAGGGTCCCCGGATAAGCGCACGTAAAACAAGCTTTTCGAAGCGACAGATGGAGATCGAATTTGTAGTACTTCGCCAGAGTCTTGAATACGGGTCTCGGATAGACAACAAACATCAATATTAAGACTTTCCAAAGACATAGCCAGCCCTATCTGTTGTCCGACCTGCATAAGTGCGCGGACGTTGAAGGCAGCCAGTTTGAATGGTGCACGTGGTTTCAGAAAAACTGCTTCAGTCCTCGTATTCGGTGGTAACATACAATTTTCAACCGGACAGTGACTCGAGAACGTTTAGATACAGTCGAATTTCCACCAAAGACGAGCCGCTGTATAAGTATAAAGGAGGGTGAATAATGTGGAAAATAATAACAATAATAATAATAATAATACTAACAATAATAATAATAATAATAATAATAATAATAATAATGACAATAATAATAATAATAATAGTATTAATAATGACAATAATTGTAATGATAATAATTTGAATCAATCGATTGTTTTTCGAAGCGAGAAAAGTAATTTCCATAGACATAAAGGGTTCATCATTTGTGTGTGGGTCGTGATACTGCCCGGGTGCCCAAACCGAAGCAGGTGGTTATCTTAGGGGGCCACACCCCGAGCCTTTGACTTAAAGGTCTAACCCACAAGGCAGTGGAGCATCGTAAGGAGATGCAGTCCCATGGTAGCCGGTGACCAACAATTGGTTCATACACCATTTGTTCCCGCAGGATACTGGAGCCCATGTGCACCATTGGTTTGTGATCCGGTTAAAGCGCCGGACATTCGCTTTTCGTCCTCTCATTTTCGTAAACAACACCCCCGCCACGAGAAGGCAATGAGTAGGACTTCCCTGGCAGAGGCTGTATACGCGCGGCCGTGTGAGAGTATTTCGAGAGGGAGAGCGGACTCTCCCCGCTCTCGGCCGTACCAGGGCCGTTATATTACTAAAAAGACTCTGAACTTAGAAAACAACAAACTAAGTATACATGTAGGCTACTATTCACGAATATTGTGTGAACGCTACTGATAGTCTGGACTCTGTTAGAATAGATCCCCGTTAACAGTCCCCTAAGTGCTGTTCAGCTAAAAGGCTCCGTAAGAACTTGGATTAAGAGGGACACACGTCGTTGACTTTTTATCATTTCTGCCTACGCTCCCACTGACTGCAGCCCGGATCAAGTGAAAGACGACTTTTACAGAAAGCTTTCTACATTTCTTCATAAAGCTAGACACTCAGACATAATACTCGTAGCACGTGTCTTTAATGCCCAAGTAGGTAGCTTAAATCAAACAGAAAGACATTTAGATGGATATTTGAGTATCCTTGCTCAGTGAACAGATAATGCTTACCTTCTGCTGTAACTATGTTCAGACAATCGTTTATTTTTAGCAAACAATAATTCTAAGCATAAGAAGAGACATTGTCTAACATGGTAACTTCATGCACTAAATCAACAATGGACTGAAATAGACCATGTTTTCATCAGTCATAGTTGGAGAGGCTCGATAGAAGACTGCCGCTCGTCTGATCATTCTCTAATACGAGCACGCATTTACTTGTACCTCATTGGACGTAGAAAAGCCACATTAAGAACTTAGCGACGAGAAAGCCAAAGGCTAATTCCAGGAAAACTCGAGATCACATTTGGGTGATTCTGAAAACGAGACTGGCCCAGATGTTGCTTGGAAAGATGTATAAACAGCAGTGACATCTATTGGTGATTTGAACCAAAGGGTCATGAAAAACTGTCTATTGAACTGATAGATTCACGTAAACTCATCCCATTAGGGTCTGAACACGATAAAGAATGAAAACAAATCAGATCTATGTTAACCAAAAGTTCATGGAACGATCGTGAACAGTGGTGAGCAACGAAAGCAAAACATATGGAGAAGGCAGCGGCTGTAGGTAACAAGACAGCTTTTAGGACTAACAAAAGAAACCGTAATTAGGAAGTCAAGTGTAGGTGAAAAAAAATCTCAGAAAAAGATGACATTCAAATCTACTCTCTGTTTAGACGTTTAGAGGGATGAGCGGAACACTTTAAAGAGCAATTCAGCTGGATTTCAGATACCCACCATTTTCAAACACCCTTAATGGGACATTGATGACTGAAGTTCAAAGTGCTATAGCTAATATGAAGTAAGGAAGAACAGTTGGTCCAAATGGATTAACTCCAGAGGTCGTCAAGGATGGTGGTCCAGTATTGGTCAGTCAGTCAGCTACAACGTAGGACCAGGCACATTTATGCATCGGTCCAAGTTGCCATACCTCATTAACACAACAAGATGGACACCAGACTCATAAAAGTGGTCAATCCAGAGGTGGTAATATATAAAAGAAAGATTGCAATAAGGATATAGTACAGGAAGAAAGAATTAGTACGTAGAAAGAAAGATATGAAGCAATTTTAATCGCTTAGTTTAAGGGAAGACAGACAGTATATACACCTACGCCATTGTGATCGATTCTGAGCCAACTCACCAAGAGTCTCCAACCACTAACTACGACAGTCACGCCGACCCCAACCAATTATTCTGCATCTATGGGCGGAACATTTCAGAGAACAGTTCAACTGGCCTCCAGCTACTCTACAACTACCCTCCATTCCCAGACAGTCAGTCAGTCAGTCAGCTACAACGTAGGACCAGGCACATATGTGCATCGGTCCAGGTCGCCATACCTCATTAGCACAGCAAGATGAACAGCGGATTCATAAGAGTGGTTAGGTCAAAGGTGGTAATATATAGGAGAAAGATTGCAATAAGGATATAGTATAGGAAGAAAGAATTAGGTCCAAGAATGAAAGATATGAAGTGATTTTAATCTCTTAGTTTAAGGGAAGACAGGGAGTGTATACACCGACGCCATTGTGATCGATTCTGAGCCATGTCACCAAGAGTCTCCAACCATTGGTTACGATAGTCACGCGGACCCCAACCAAGTAGTCTGCATCTACCAACATGGCTCAGACTACAAGTTAGTGACTTCAGGCACTGATGCCACGTTTTGGTTTGGCCGCCCCTAACTTTCTTCCAACCATCCCCTACACCGGTTAGCATTGCACGTCGTGGTAATCGGTGTTCAGGCATACGTAGTACGTGACCCAACCATCTCAGTCGATGAAGATTCACAACCTCATCAACTGATTTACCATCATTCCCTAATACCCTGCGTCTAACCTCACTATTACTTACCCGGTGATCCCAGAAGATGCCAGCAATATTTCTAAGGCATCTGTGGTCAAATACTAGTAGCTTACGGGTGTCTTCTACTCTTAAGGGCCATGTTTCGCTGCCGTAAATTAAAACAGAACGAACTGCCGCGCAGTATACTCGTCCTTTTATTGATAGACGGATATCTCGCCTCCGCCAAAGGTGACGTAAGTTGGCAAAAGCCAAGCGACCTTTTCGAATCCGTGCTGAGATTTCGTCAGACACCAACCCATTAGGGCTGATCAGACTTCTAAGATAAGTGAAGTTGTCAACGCGTTTGACTACTTCACTCCCTATCCTTAGTTCGGGTGTTGACGCAGACCAGTCCTGAAGCAACAACTTGCATTTAGAGGGAGAGAAGCGCATCCCAAACATTCTGGCATTGTTGCTCAGTGCTACCAGAAGACTCTGCATTTTGTCAGCGTCTTCACCAAACAGGACTATATCATCTGCGTATTCCAAGTCGATAAGTGGACCTCCTGCAAGGAGATCAATACCCGAGAATTCAGTAGACGAGAGTGTTATTTCCATCAATAGGTCTATGATGAAGTTAAACAAAAATGGAGAAAGTGGGCAGCCTTGACGGACACCACTTGAGGTTGCAAAAGTAGATGACAGTTCGCCATAAGCCTTGACTCGACTAGTAGTGTTCGAGTAAAGAGCCTTCACAAGGTTTATGTACTTCTGAGGTACGCCTTTCAATGACAGACACTGCCACAGAGTCTCGCGGTCTACAGAGTCAAATGCTGCTTTTAAGTCAAGAAAGACCACCATCGTCGGACGCCGATAGGTATGCCTGTGTTCTAGAACCTGACGAATGGTGAATATGTGGTCGATGCAGCCACGACCAGGTCTAAAGCCAGCTTGGTTCTCTCGAGTTTGTAGTTCACGAGTGATTGCGACCAGTCAGATGGGATAAAGTCTAATTCCCAGATCTTAGCTAAAATATTAGTCAACCTAATCGCTAAAATTGGGCCACCATCCTTAAAGACCTCTGGAGCCAATCCATCTGGACCAGCTGCCCTTCCTCGTTTCAGATTAGCTATAGCCTTTTGAACTTCAGCAAGAGTTGGGGGACCTACTTCAATGTTCCATTCACATTGTCTGGGAATGGAGGGTAGTTGTAGAGAAGCTGAAGGCCAGCTGAACTGTTCTCTAAAATGTTCCACCCATCGTTCTAAACGTCTGGACTGGGAGCAGATGAGAGTATCATCTTTTTCCGAAATAATCTCACTTACACTTGACTTATTAATTCCAGTTTCTTTTATTAGTCTGTAAAGCTGTCTTGCGTTCCCTATAGTCCCCGCCTTTTCCATCTCTTTTGCTTTCGTTACCCACCACTGCTCACGGTCGTTCCTTAGACTTTTTCTTAACCTAGATCTGATTTGTTTACGCTCTTCATCATGTTCAGAACCTGATGGGACGAGTTTGCGAGAATCCATCAGTGTGACAGACCTTGAAGAAATCCACTGGTTCCTTGCAACTCTGTGGTTTAAGTCACTAATAGATGTCACTGCTGCTTCCACAGCTGATTGTATGCCCTTCCAAGCAACATCTGGGTCAGCCTCGTCTTCACAACTACCTAAGTGTGACCTCAGTTGTTCCTGGAACCTACTTTTGGTTTTCTCGTTACTCAACTCAGTTCTAACGGGTCTTTTTAATGTGGCTTTTTTGCGTCCAGTGAGGCGCAAGCAGATGCGTGCCCGTATTAGGGCATGGTCGGAGTCCAAGCAGGTACTCCAGAATGAGCGACAATCTTCTACCGACCCTCTCCAACGATGACTGATGGCAATATGGTCTCTTTGAGTCCATCGTTGGTTTGGTGTAGGGGGTCGCCATGTTAGACGATGTCTCTCCTTATGCTTAAAATTTGTATTTGCTAAAAATAAACGATTGTCTGAGCATAGCTGCAGCAGACGATCACCATTATCTGTTCGCTGTGTCGGAATACTAAAATATCCACCTAAATGCCTTTCTGTTTGGTTTAAACTGCCTATCTGAGCATTAAAATCACCTGCTACGAGTACTATGTCTGAGCGTCTAGCTTTCTGAAGAAGTTCGGACAGCTTTCTGTAAAATTCATCTTTCACATCATCTGAGCTGCAGTCAGTGGGAGCGTAGGCAGAAATGACGAAAAGGCAACGACGTGTATCCCTATCCTTCCGAGTTCTTACGTAGCCGTTTAGCCGAACAGCACATAGACGACTGTTGACGGGGATCCACTCTAGCAGTGCTTGTTCCGCCCTAATGCTTAGTGCTATGCCTACACCTGCCAGTCCACGAGAACTTGCCATCGGGTCACCAGATACACGAAGGGTGTATCTCGTTGGCTCTCCGTTTTGCCTAGGTGAGGTCAAGCGAATAACCACACTGGAATCCTGTATGCATGTTTCGGAGACACAGCATACATCAATGGAAAGAGACTCTAGGGTTTTAGCCAAGGAAGCCTGCTGACCGATTTGACATAGGGTGCGTACGTTGAAGGCTCCAATGTGTAGTTTGGAGCGAGGTTTCAGTAGACCTGGGACTGTTTTGCGCATTAGAATCGTTGGCTATGGTGACACTTGAGGTGGAAGCCGAGAGAGGAAATTTAAAGTTGAAAGTCGATGTAGGAGGAATAATAGGAATTGAAGAGGGAGGTTGATTATGAATACAGTGGTCTTGAGTGCTGTTATAGGTATGAGGGCGGTTATCACTTCCCGGTTGCCCACACCGTGGAAGGGTTGTTCTGGAGGTACCTGAAAAGGAACTTGGATTAAAGGTGGTCTTAGTGACCTGAGAGCGTGACCGCAGTGCCCAAGGGACAACTGCTTGAGGTCGGTCACACACGACCTTGTTATGGGTAATTTTTGTGTTAGCTCCGTACTTATTGAGACCTTACCGCCGGAGACGGATATCCGTGGGATAAGGCGAGGTGTGCATTTTTAGGGTCGACCTTTTCTAACCCCACCCCTCCTTGTGGGAAGGCAGCATCGCTGTCATGCTGGTTGTCTGAAGGAAACACCTTACTGCTGTCACACCTCTGTACAGTCACCAGTACGACTTCGTCTTCGGACCTTGGGTTTGTTGCTTTTAGTCTTACCGCTCTTCAACCGACCTGTCTGACATGGTAGGACCTTGAGGAACGGTTGTTCCAGCCAGTATAGCTCGGTTGCTTCATCACGATAGGCAAGCCCGACCACCACGTCAAGGTAGCAACAACGGTCGGGCCATTCCCAGACAGCGTGAATGGAACATTGAAGTAGGTCCCCCAACTCTAGCAGAAGTTGAAAAGGATATAGTTAGTCTGAAACGAGGAAGGGCAGCTGGTCCAGATGGATTGGCTCCAGAAGTCTTTAAGGATGGTGGTCCAATTTTAGCGATTAGGTTGACTAATATTTTAGCTAAGATCTGGGAGTTAGACGTTATTCCATCTGACTGGTCACAATCACTTATCGTTCCAATATATAAGAGAGGGTCAAAATCATCCTGTGACAACCATAGAGGGATTAGTTTAACAAACATAGTATCTAAAATACTAGCCTCGATAATTATCAGACGCTTAACTAAGACTCGTGAACTGCAAACACGAGAGAATTAAGCTGGCTTCAGACCTGGTCGTGCCTGCATCGACCACATATTCACCATTCGTCAGACTTTAGAACACAGGCATACTTATCGGCGTCCGACAATGGTGGTCTTTCTTGACTTAAAATGTCTAACCACTAAACCTTTCCCTGTGTATCACATCCTTATATACGACCTTGTTTTTATATATTACTACAATTGAAATAACTGTTACTATGAATTTGGTGTTCATCCTGTTGTGCTAATGAGGTATGGCAACTTGAACCGATGCATATATGAGCCCGGTCCTACGTTGTAACCGAACGACTGATTAACTTAAAATCCTAATATCTACATCACCCAAAACCACGATATCAAAGCTATGACATAAATCTAGATCACTGTGTCCTTTTATTCAGTTTTATCACCGCCAAAAAGTGCTTATTATGCTGTTTAAAGTCAATTAATTCACAATACAGTCAATGAGCAACAAATCTCTAGAATGATGTATTTTACCGTTAACTGACTACATGATGTTTAGATATATTCCGTGATCCAGAAGCTATTTGAACGTTCGTTAGCGACCGCAGTCAACCGGTTAATAACATAACTTATTGCCAGGCTAGTTTTAACAATAACTAGCGAGTTATTAAAATGCTATACGTCTCATAACTACACCTTTAACATACTATCCCGTCTCAGTCTAATACACATATAGCCTGTCTCGCAGAGTTACCTCGATAAATTGAGGGGCCATGCTCAATTGTTATTTATTAACTCTAATACAGATTCAGCCTAACAAGTACTCATGTATTTTGATGATGTGATAGCGCTTCTTATTCTCATGAAAAAGAAAGCTCTAACAACGTAAATGAGAACAATAAATACCGATAGTGACCATAAATGACATAAATAAGAGAAAACATTAACAAGACAAAAAACTACTTCTGGAGTTCAGTTTCCAACAGGCGACCAGTCAAAACAATATCGGCTTGCACAGTCCCCAAAGTATGACCTTGAGGGACACTTAAATTGTGAAGCCCGCACGATTACCGTTAGCAAAAAGTCACTTCAAACTACAATACACTAACTTTCATGGAATGGATAACGTTTACAGGCTCTCAGAATCAATAACGTGTTATTCTTATTCTCAATCACAAACTGAAATCTTTTAAGTATTTAAAATAGTTCATTTTAACGTTACTTTTCGGGTTCAAAATATTTCAAATGTTTGTGAACGAAATGGAAGGAGCCATCACTTGCTGGAATTCCGTGACTGGGGAGTATCACTGAATTCAGATATAGACCTAAGTGGAAAAATAGAAATGTCAGCCAAATCAAATGAAATGTCGTCCTAAGTCCTTAAGAACTTCACGATTTCACGGATGTTCAGGGCTTGTTAACACGTTTGTCTGTAACGACTTTGTGATCAAAAGATCTCAAGCACAGTCAAACTAGAAGTCAATAATGAAGCAGGTTGAAAATATTTTTTCCGACGTTGAGTGGTATTTTATCCTAATCGGCTCGTTCTTGGGAGGGATGCGTAGACGGGTGTACCCAATGGTGATTTGGCGCAGATGCATGACCGAGAAACTTCAGCTGGTTTCTGTTTAGTAAAGTTGATGTGTAAAGTGTGATAGATAACCGAACTCACCAATGATAAAGTGAAACGCCCACCACCACATTAACTTTCTTTGACCTTGGATGACTGTGTTTTGTTTATTCACCAATCACCATTTTATGTTCATTATAAAACAATAATTGCCTTGTTGACTCATTTTTTCTATCCTCTATTTACTGTCCGGTATGTTATTTATGTCTCTGTTTTTCCCTGTGTTGATAGACTGTACCGTTTGTTTTGTACACCAACGGTGTTAATTTATGTTTTAGAAACAGATAAAGTTTATCAAGCCAAATAGCTTACTTGTTCTGACTTTGGCTAAAGCAAGACTCTGTGCTTGACAGTCTAGAGAATAGCTTAGAGTTACACCTGTAGGAAATTGCTACCCAAATGATGTGATCAAGACCAACTGCAAGAACTTACAGAACTATCTATTTCGCAGGTTTGTTTACCTCTACAAATGTATATATGATGGGATAATTAGAATAATGTTTAGGTAAGATTGTGGTTCGGGGTAGTGAACAGGAAACCGTGAATCTATATTTCGTGCTACTTGACACTCGTCAACAAGGTGTACTTGTAATCTTGAGCTATCCGGGAGGCGGCTGATCTCCTGTAGGACTGAGATGTACAACTTTACTGTTCGATATTCATGGCCTAAACCTATCCTGTACATACCTTTTATTGTTATAACGCTCGCAAAAGCTTTACAAAAATGCATTTAGCACCCACTCCTATTAAATAGCTCTTACGCACCCCAAATCATTCCACATAGCATGTGGTTCCTGACCAAGTATTTGTCTTGCTTTGAAATTGAGTTGTTATCCCTCCTACTCTATATCG